TGGCGCTATATAAATAAAATTGAATTGAAAATTGAATTGAATTTGATTTGTGAGTATTCATTGTGAGTTGTTTAACTCATTAGCTGCCAAAGTGAAGGGTATTTGATGCTATTTTTTGGGCTTTAGTGACACCTCAAACATCTTAAAAGTTGTATCCTTCTATAAAACGGCAAAAACAACATCTAGAAGGGAGTACATACTAGTTTTTTTTGTCAAATCATTATCTAATTTAGACTAATTAGGTATTTCTCGAACTCTCAGCTGGTTGTTATGTTAGCGTAGCATGCTAATGCTAGTTAGAGCTACTGCTAACATTTGCAGCTACTCGTTTTTATGTTTTTCAACGAGAGTGGCTTGGGGGACGATCTGCTAAAGCTTGTCGGTAAATATCAGGCTTCTAGACAGAGTACGTAGTAACAAATTGACCCTCTAGGTGGCAGTGCCACTTTTGATGGGAGATGAGCATAGACTGTAGGCAAATAAGAAAAAGGTAACGGTTCGCTATGAGAGAACATGTCGCCGGTGAGACGCAAGTCCAGGAAGTTAAGGCAGCTCACACTCAAACAGAGTTTGTGAATAAATTATTTTGTCATTTAAAACCATTTCTAGATGTTGTTTTTGCCGTTTTATAGAAGGATACAACTTTTAAGAGGTTTGAGGTGTCACTAAAGCCAAAAAAATAGCATCAAAGGCACTTCTCTGCTTGAACTGTATCTTTTCACAAAAAGCTTGTTTCCTCCATCTATTGGTCAAAAACTGGTGTTTTTGTTGAAACCGACCTATGTTCTACTGCTGATTACTAAAGAACGGAATAAGGTAGAAACAAAATTTCTTTCCTGATGAAAGAAGAGAGTCTACTCTTTCTTTTGGTGTGTTGGGTGTTTACATAGTCATAACACAAACTATTCTGTGGCTCTTGAAAAATCAGTCAAAATGTTCAGAACTCTGTTCTGAAAATGGCTGGCAGTCAATGAGTTAAAAAGAGGAACCTGTGGCTGCGGTGATGGTGAGGGGGTGGAGGTCGGGGTCAAACGGTTCGCTGAGGGTCAGGGTCAGTCTGAAGGGCTGCCCTCGCCTCACCACCAGCTCCTGGACGGTTATTTCATGGGTGCGGTGTTCTCTGTTGTTGGCCGCACTGTGGAGGTCCACTCCTCTAATAACTAAGAAAAAAAGGAGACAAACGAACAAAATCATACATAGAAATACAGAAGAAGTGCTTGTTTGTATATTTGTTCTATGAGAAGGAAAGATAGAGATACCAGCTTTAAATGTTTATTGGATCAGGTCTGTAATGATGCCATCTTAGTCTTTCCTCATTTAAAAAAAAAATCCAGTGGTTCTAAACTCAATACCTCATAATGGCGCCATAGTTGGAACTATGGCCTCATATTTATGTCGCTCGTGTGAACTTTTGACATAAATATGACGCCATAGTAGCGGCCATTGCTAGCTCTGAGCTGGTCGTTTGCAACTACCGATCTTGTTTTTTTTAAACTACAGGGTAGCATTTGTGAGCCGAAACTCTGGAATAACAAAAAAAAAAAAACAGACCGCGAGGCGTTCTTAGCTGGTATGAAAATAAAAACGAGTGGCTGCAAATGTTAGCAGTAGCTTTAACTAGCATTAGCATGCTA